GTTCGTTTCGAAATCTCTCGCGCTGCTAGAAGTAGTACAGTAATGTCTCCCTAACTGACGCTCTCTAACTGCACAAAAATGGACAATTTTGGAAGAGGAGATACGATTATTCGAGCTTTCCGGTTTATTTTTATAGTTATAAGCCGCAAGGCTCGAATAATAATAGTGTCTCCTCTTCCCAAATAATCCAATTTAGTGGACAATCTGAGCGTCAGTAAGGGAGACATATATCGCTTGAAATATTTATGAACAATATGTTCGCGTATAAATCTTAAATGTACCTTTAACCCTTTGGAAGACGACGAAGTATCGTCGCAAATTTAAAATGATAATCGAAGACCACCGGTCTCCTTATTCTCGTGACGATAAAAAGGGGTCCACTTTCGATCAATCGCGGAACGAGCCGCGCGACCGAGAAACTTCGGGAAGGCCAATCGAAATGGAGGGGAAAATTGAAGACAGTCGAATCGTAACTCTCGATATTGGAAAAGGTATAGGCGCACGACAGAATGCGCCCCGTCTGGTAAACAAGGTTGCCCGTTCCACTCCCGTTCCGGAAACAACCGAGAAAATCCTCATTCGCGAATAACAACCAAAGACGATTCCACCGTATCATTAACCCTTCTTCGGACTTTTCCGGAAAATAAAAACTTCTCGTTCGTAAAAAACGTAATAATCGATAGAAATAAATTGCTTCCTGTAATAATTTCAGCAAGTCAAGCATCGATCATTCCAGTCAAGGAGAGAATAGAAACATTCTTGTATTATTTGCAACTAATTAAAATTCTGAAAGAAAGGAGACAAATACTTTTGTAGCTCTAATATCTAGTAATCAATGCGGACAATTTTTATAACTTAATAATATCGTTACACCGTTTTCAAGTTTTATGCGAAATGAAAATGTGTCCGCATCAATTACAAGATATCAGAGCTGCAAAAGTATTTGCCTCCTGTTTTTAATCATTTTAATTTTAGTTGCAAATAACATAAGAATGTTTTTATTTATCCTATAAATGTTTCAATCGTTTCGACGTAGATCCAGTCATTTTCGACACGAAACGCACAAAATTCGCGATATTTTATAAACGTTTTCGAACGAACCACGCATTGAATATCGCGCATTTAGTGCGTTAAGTTCGATTACGCCGCACTGATTGATCGATGCGGTGATGTTTACCTATTTAAATTTAATCGCGAGCGCGTATCTCTGCATTGGAAATCATTCCGACCAAATCGCAAGAATTACGACGATCTACGTCGACACGTCGATATTTGTAGATGGTAACTAACGTGAAAATCGATTCTTCGTAATGAACCAAATACGTTCGATAAAGTTGCTTAGACAATAACTCGAACAACGAAATAAATATATCCCCCCCCCCCCACGAAGCTTATTGGTAGGCTCGAGGGATCTTTATAATCTTTTTTCAACAGGAGACAATTTCATTCGAAAGAATTTTTTATTAGATAACGATCGTATTGATTGCCGATAGAAACAGCGTTTAAATAATTCATCGAAAGACTAAAAAATCGTCTGTGAATAACTATTTAAGTGTTTAAGTCGGTTGTCGTAGGAACGAAAATCACGTTGCTTAATTTTTAATTTTTATGGAACCTCCTTTTATTATATTATTATATTATTATGTTATTATATATTATTATATTATTATATTATTATATTATTATATTATTATATTATTATATTATTATATTATTATATTATTATATTACTATATTATATTCGGATAACTTTTGAAACGAAACAACTCTTCACAAATCGAACGAAAGGGTTCGAAGATTTTTAGAGGTTAGGGCGACTGGTTTGCCAAACAACGTCTGTACGAATTTTTTCAAAAATTATAATCTGTTGAAATAACAAAAAAAATATTAAAACATTACGTTTCGTAAGCATCCGTAGCTTACACCGGTAGTGAAAACATGATCGAAATCGTAGTTACAGTCGCCGAACGATTAAAAATCGTGGAAACTATGACTTCCGACCGATAACTGCGAGAAATCTGGTTCTCTTAACATCTCTCGATGCTCGTAGCTCGCGACAGAAGTATTTGGACTGTTAAACGCGTATAGGACACTCTGAATATTGGGACAGTGCACGGTAGGTGCACACATGCTGCGATATCAATATTCGAGATTGGGAAATCAAAAGTGAAAGTTATTAGCTTGAAAAGGAAACTTCGAAAGTGAAAAGAATTTCGTCATTTATACTACGGTGTAAAGCTTCTTTCGGCTTGGCATTCGCACCGTGTCAACGTTCTACTTATTGTTAGCAGAAGTTCTGTTATTCGGAGAAAATGTTTCCTAGCAACAGATGGTCGGACAACAAACGATATCCGATCATTATGATTCACAGCACGAATCTCCGTGGGCGATGTACACGCGTGCCGAAAAATCTATGCAATTTAAGCAATAAATGTTTAAATATTTGGACGCATTCTCTGCCCTCGCGATACTTATTTAATCGATGTTACTATAAAATAAAATTTTAGGAAGTTTCTATGACTATTGCAAAAATGAAAAAAATTTGGATTTAATGGAAAAATAAATTGTGTAGTCGTAGTTTAATAATGACTTTCGTCAAATAATAAAATTCTAGAACATATTTGTTTATATAATAATTGGAAAATATTGATTAAAATTTTATTTTTCATGGAAAATAAGTTTCGTAGACGTAATTTATAATATTATTTTTGCTCGTTGCAACGGACGTTAATTAAATAACGCGAAATTCTAGAAAATTTGTCGGCGTCCTGTTCGTTCGAAAAATGTTTCTCGAGGGGAAAAAATATTTGTCAGTCCGTTAATTTCGACGGAGAAGATTATGTACAGCGTGGAATGTGTCATTTAATCAGATCACAAGATGATTTATACGAAACAAAACTATAGCCGAAAATCCGTAGAAACGAAATATCTGATATAACCGCATCACAAAGTGATTTATACCAAGCACATCGTAAAACGAAGCTCAGATAATAGCATGATTTATTTCAAGCAGCCTGAACGGAATCTGGATCAGGTTATAAGATGATTTATTTGGAGCACGCTATAGAACGAGATCAATACGTATAAGCAGAATATTATACCGCGTGTAATCGATCCAGGAGGTATTTATCCCGAGCACGGCACGGAAAACGTTCAGAATTTCAATATCCGTCGAAAATATTTCTCGATTTGTTGGAATTTCGTTCCGCAGGAAAAGATGAAAATTAGAAGCGAAAACTTCGAATCTAATTCGAAGCGGCTCCTTCGATCGCATCTAATTTTTAACTCGCATTTAATTGTTGCTAGCGTCTAGATTTCACTGGATTTGTAAAATTCACAGCGCGTGCAACGCGCCAAGTATTTTCATATCGAAACACGTGGCGGATTAATTTAAGACTCGCACTACTAGCAAAAATATAGCGCACGTGCTTTCGTTAGATTTTCAGAGGTGCGCTCGATATCGTTCAAATTTCGTGAATGATATATAGATTGATATATAAATAGTATAGTGCTGTATAAAAACGTTCGTCAATTTCTCTTCCTTCTGCCATAATTATCTCCGAATTCGCCCTATTATTATAAGGAACACACAACACGTCCGCACAACTTGAAAAGACACTAAGTCCAAGCAAAAATAATAATTTCCATAATTGACAGAGCGACCTACAATAAACGTTACTTTTACAATAAAACGTGTTGCTAAAAGGTAACGTTTACATATTGATTAGCGCGTTCGAAAAGCTCTGTACGCGTCACTCAAACTCGAGATAAAGAACTCTAAGAATTCAGAATAAAAATCCAAGTGCGAACTCGGATCCACATGTTTCCTCGATCGACCCCTTAACCCCTTAGCTTACAATCCCATGTAAATGATAAATATCAATAAAACGATTTCTTTTTCTTNGTCTAGATTTCACTGGATTTGTAAAATTCACAGCGCGTGCAACGCGCCAAGTATTTTCATATCGAAACACGTGGCGGATTAATTTAAGACTCGCACTACTAGCAAAAATATAGCGCACGTGCTTTCGTTAGATTTTCAGAGGTGCGCTCGATATCGTTCAAATTTCGTGAATGATATATAGATTGATATATAAATAGTATAGTGCTGTATAAAAACGTTCGTCAATTTCTCTTCCTTCTGCCATAATTATCTCCGAATTCGCCCTATTATTATAAGGAACACACAACACGTCCGCACAACTTGAAAAGACACTAAGTCCAAGCAAAAATAATAATTTCCATAATTGACAGAGCGACCTACAATAAACGTTACTTTTACAATAAAACGTGTTGCTAAAAGGTAACGTTTACATATTGATTAGCGCGTTCGAAAAGCTCTGTACGCGTCACTCAAACTCGAGATAAAGAACTCTAAGAATTCAGAATAAAAATCCAAGTGCGAACTCGGATCCACATGTTTCCTCGATCGACCCCTTAACCCCTTAGCTTACAATCCCATGTAAATGATAAATATCAATAAAACGATTTCTTTTTCTTTGCTTTCACATTGTTATTTTCAATTCTCGATTATATTCGAGCGTGAACAATTACAGCAGCATAAAATACAACGCCGCTCGAATAATCTCGAGTGTGCACAGTTTGGTCTGTTTAGCGCGCTCGAACTAACTCGAGCGTACAAGTTAAGGGGTTAATAGACAAATCTACAATAAACGTAAACTTTCGAAGTCAATCGCGTCGCCGAATGCTAACATTTACGCGTCATTCGTTACAAAAATTTCGATACCATCCGCAAGACCCTAACGAGCACCCTGACTAAGCACACGTAACGAAAGCAGCTCTCCCCGATCGCATCGTAATTATTGTCCAATAATTTTTCACCAGCCAACCAACGAGCGATTACTCGATCGTCCACCGAACGAACTCGGATCTACGCTCGAACGGAGTCGCGTAAAGTGATAACGCGATCCAGGAGGGCTCGTTGCAGCGTATCGTACGAATGCCTCGGTCTAGAAGAAACGGAATAACATCCCACTTACAGGTCGGTGACACGCAGCAGCCCCCTAACAGCGTCGGCACGAAGTCTCGCCGATCGGTATCCAATCCTCCGTGGCCGAAATAATTCGCAGTCCGTGGCACTCGGTTTCCCGATTCACTTCCGGGGAACGGTGCGAGGACCTGTTCGCGTGTTCACCACTGATCCGGGTAAACACAAGGGTCGCGGGTGCGACACGCACATGCACACCGCGAACCAAGGTACACGTTACGTTCCTCGAGATGCGTGCGCGACGACGTCCACTGACCGACTAAACGCGCCGCGCGAACAGTCGCGTTCACGGTTCCTGTTGCCCCCTACCTGTGTACACATGCACGCACACACCCGTCACTGGGATTCTCCTCCGAAGAACCGTATTGGTCACGGTCAATCGAACACCCGAAATCTCTTCCGGCACCCGGAACGCCGCTCGCCCCGCGCGACGCGTTCGAGTTCGAACGCGAAGCTTCACGCCGAATGGTGTCACCCGGGGGTCACGTGTGCTGGGACCGCTACCTGGCAGATCGTCCCAAGAATTCCGTGCGATAGGGCGCCGGTTACTTCGAGCCAGATGGCATCGTCGTGGAATTACAGTTCGAGAAGAGCAGTCGCCTCGAGGTTCGCGGATGACGATCTCGCGTCACCAAGAGTGCATCGGCGCAGCTACGCGGACCTTGGAAGTGCTGCGAGACTCGATCGCGAGTCCCCGAAGGTGCATCGGCGCAGCTAGAGCTTCGAAGTGCTCCGAGACTCGATCGCGAGTGCCCGAAAGATTCGCAAGCTCGGAAAAAGCCGAACCGTTGCACTGGGAGTCGGTGCAACTCTCGAGTCGCTCCGATCAGATCAGCGCCGAGATCGGTCGAATCACTGCGACAGGGTGCATGGAAGCGGTGGAGGATCGTTTATGAGCCATGTGGACGCGGCGTGGAGCGGAAGAGGCCCGCGTAGAGCAGCCCGCCGTGCGAGAATCGTCGATCGGACTCGGAGGCCTTCGATATCGGCGTCGGTAAAATCCGTGGTCGATCGTCCGACGGTGTTCCCGTCCCGTTGCATCGATACGCAATGGGAATTGGAGGTCGGCCGATGACGTGGGGCGCGTGACGCGCGGGCAGCACGTGACACTGGGACCGTTCCGTGCGTGTGACGCCGCCGTCGCGACGGCGAAAGAAGAGCCACGTTACACCTGGCGCCAGGGCCAGCCGGCGTGACGTTCCGGCTTGGTCTGTGTACCAGGGTGCTACTGGGGATCGCCGTATGCTTGTTTTTGCAGGGCAGCTCTAGCGGGGACCGTGGAAGGGGTTGTCGCCGCGAGCGAGAGAGCGGAGCGGTTCGGCGCGGGCCGGACGGAGACGGAGCGGGCCGCGAGGATCGGACCGAGATCGCGGGCCGGGTGGAACAGTGACGGGAACGGCGGGCTCGAGGCGGGGGGAGGGAAGAGACGCGGAAACCGTTCGCGGCGGGGGAGGCGAGGGCGAGGGAAACAAAGCGCGGAGGGGCGACGCGTCGAGCGGAGGGACGGCGGAGGAGGATAGATTGTTGCGATAGCGGAGGAGGACGCGAGAGAGCGCGGGAGAGGGCGCGGAGAGGGTGGAGAGAGAAACGAAGCGGGCATGGGAGCAGGAAACACGGGAAAGAATGAACTAACGGTAGAATACGACACGGCGGAGAGTAAGAGGACAGCGAGGAAGGACGTCGGAGGGGTTGGTTCGCGGAAGGGAGACGGAACGCTCGCGCCCCCTCTTCCCCCACCAGGGAGTCCCGACGTCGGTCCTGCCGTTGCGACGGCGCAACGGCCGCAAGGATCTCCGTCCTTCTTCAGAGATACGGCTTTCCCTTCTCCTCTCGGCAGGGGTGCCCCGCTTCCCGTCGTTCTCGCGCACCCTCGCGCTACCGAACACCGTCAACCAGCCTCTCTCGCCCCACTATCCACGACCGCGGATCGATCCGACGTCCGTCCGTCGGTCCGTCCGTCGGTCCGTCCGTCCGTAAACTCACCGCCGCGGGTTATGCTCGCGTGTACACACCGGGAATCCTGTGTGCCACGCACTAGACACCGACGCCGGAGGAATGTACATTGCCGGCGAACGAGAGACGCTCTCCGCTTGTTCGCTCGCTCGCTCGCACGCCGCGCGATCGTATCCGACTCGCGAACGCGCCGCCGCGCCGCTCCGCGCCGAGCCGCGAGGGACGCGAACGGACACGCGTAGCTGATTCAGAAAGAGTGCACGCGCGCGCCGTGTTATCACGGTGTTGCACGCAGGTAAGTCGACAGCTCGGTCTCGTCCGGCCCCGCGGACGGGACTGCTCGCGCGATTGCCGCGGAACACCGCGATGCTAATGAGATTCCGGCGAGGGTTACCGAGAGGGCTACCGGGAGGGCGCGTTGATAAGCGTCGCGCGAGCTCGCGCCGCGTTTCTGTTTGCTTCGAGACGATCGGGAATGTTTAGCGTTCGCCACCGCGCCGCGCAATTTCGCGTTCTCCGCGCGCGGTGAATCCGGTCACTTTCGTTCGTTTCGTGAATTCTTAATCCGCGGCCGACGCGTGCTACGCAAGGCGTCTTTTTATTCTTGGAGGCACGCTGGGGGCTGAGCTGTGTTTTGTTGTACGCGCAAAAGCTGTTGGAATCGAAATTTATAGCTTGATCTGTTGTTTAGGATTTTCTGTCGCGATTGACCCCATGCATCGACTCCTTGACATAAGGTGACGAGTTGTGGTCGTTCGTTCATTTCGTATGCCATGCGCGCAGACTTTGACTAACTCGTCGAAATTATTGTTAATTTCTCGGTTGCTTCACTCGTGTGTCGATTATGGTTCGTTTGCGATGTTCAAGATGACCCTAACACCTTCTCGATGGTACCAATAACTAAGTTGCATCCACAATTTGGGAACAGAAGGCATTACTGTAATGTCTCCCTTACTGACGCTCAGGTTGTGCACAGAAATGGACAATTTGGGAAGAGGAGACACGATTGTTCGAGCATTGCCACTCATTTTTATAATTGTGGATAATATATAACTATAGAAATAAACCGCAAGGCTCGAATAATAATCGTATCTCCGATCGTCAACAATTCCAAAAACGAGGTGTAAGGCTCGAATAACAATATCGAATCGAATAATCCATTTTTCTGGACAATTTCCGATTGTCAACAATTCTATAAACGAGGTGCAAGGTTCGAATAACAATATCGAATCGAATAATCCACTTTTGTATATAAACCCAAGGAAAATTAAGAAGAATTTACAGTAAAACAGTTCGCGAAGCGTCGCTCTAGAAGGAAGATGTTACTTAGGCGACCACCCAGTATATTCGCATCGTTTCGTCGTAATTTTCACGCACGCATAATTGCACGACGCGGTAACCGAGTACGTTGCGTACGTTGCAGTAATTCATGCACGACTGTACGAGTCTTGTAGCTGCAATTACAGTCACGTGTAAGTAGTTAAGCCTCGAAGTTACGGACACCGCGCGACGTTTCGCTGTCGGGTGCACGCCGGCAAGACAAAGGACATGTAACAAGCAAAAACGGCGCGCGTTGTAGTTACCAACTTAAGATTTATCGTAACGGCGGAGCTCTATAGGAACTCGATTAAAAAACTTTTACCGAAGTTCACCGCGGTGTCTAGATCCTGTTGAACGTTCCCTGTCGCGTAGAAGGTAGAAGCTTTCCGAGGAGCTCCGAATGAATGAAAACACGCCGGTGTTATCCTTCCGTGGAGGTTAAATTCGCGAAGGAAAGCAGACGGAAACTTTGGCATCCTTATTGATAACGGATACTCGGCTTTCACGGTTAAACAAATGCTCGGAACGATCGAGATTCGAAATAAATCAATTGTGTCCCGGCGATTCGACGAATCGAATTCGATTAGGTTAATTCCAGGAAGTTTAAATTTCAATTCTTCGAATTGCTCTGGCATTTTTAATTCCACTCGTTTTGGTTACAAATGCGTAAAATTAGTAAAAGTCTAATTATATGCAAACGAAAGGCTGTAATCTGTGAGAAACATAATATAACCGATATTTTAATATGCGATAGAACTGAAATTACTTAATTCGTGAATTCAGAAAACCGACGATTTTCGCGCAAGTAGTATAAGTCAACCATATGGCAAACATAAGCCAGTTTCCCCTTTTGCCGTGTCAATTTTCCAATCGAACGTGAATCTGTTTTTCCAAGATACGAGCCAAGTTACGAATAAAACAGAACTTTTGCGCGATAATAAAGAGCGCAACGGTTTAACTTCTGCCGCATTTGCCGCAGGACACGGTCCATAAGCTGCTGAACCTAAATAACAAAAATCCCTACTCAGCAAGGTGATCAGATATTCCAGAGTCCGCGTCTCCGTAATACCGTAGATAAAAAGTTGCCCCGCGTTTCCTCCGTCAGTCGGAAAATAAGTTTCCAGATTCCGTAAGAATCGTTATGCAGCGATATAATCGTTCCGTGCTTCGAAAAACCATGAAAACGAGCGGAATGAGCCTATAGTCACGCGCGCGCGCGGCTCTAAATCTCGAACGAGTTCGGAGCAGCGCGAACTTCAGGCTTCCGCGGCTCATGTTTTACGTGTGCCACTTTAACTTCCTTACATGCGGACAAAATTTGAATCGCGGCTGCGTAACTGCAGCCTCACGTTGCGATACGTGCACCGATCCCGCGGTTTCCTCTGCACCAAGTTCGAATTCTGCTGCGAGCTCGCAATCTTAGCCTCGGTACGGGCTGTGCATACGCTACTTTCCCAGCTACAGCGCTAGACAAAAGGATGGTACGCTTTAAAGATAACGTTTCGAAGTTTATTTTAAAAACTTAATTCTTATTTATTCAGCGTTGCGAACAAGGCTTCTAAAATAAACAATTTTATTCGAAGGAGAAGAATTTTTATGAAAATACAGTATATACAGGGTGTCCCGAAAATGTCTCGCGGAAATAGGAGGTTTCTGAGGTCATTTGAAGCAACTTTTTCCTTTACGAAAATTTTCTCCGAGGCTTCGTTTACGAGTTATTAACGAAAAACACTGACCAATAAGAGGCGAGCTCGGCTGGCACGCGACGGCCCAGCCAACGAGTGCGCGGAGCCCGGTTCCGCTTATTGGCTCGGCCGTCTCGCGCCAAACGATCACGCCTCCGATTGGTCACGGTTTTTCGTTAATAACTCGTAAACGAAGCCGCGGATCGCATTTTCGCTAAGGAAAAAGTTGCTTCGAATCAGCTCAGGAATCCCCTACTTTCGGATTGCGAGACATTTTTAGGACACTCTGTATAATGTATATATAATACACAGTAATTATGACATTCTTAGCTTTGAACCAAACGAAGCCGTCCCGACGTGTTCTCATACGAGCAAAAATAAGGAAAGCGTTTCAATCCGCAGGATAAAACAAACACCCTGCTATTATAATGTTTTTATAAAACCAACAATATCTTTGAAAAGTTACGACGCTAACGTCACCATCCCCTCGGATAATGACGGCCCAGTTGGTGAAAAAGACGTCGGCAAGTCCGCGAGTCCTTTAAAAATAGCGGCGACCCGTTGGTGAAAGACATTGGCAAGTCCATTATTTTGCTTATCCGGTGGTGACCCGGGGGTGAAAGAGACACTGGCAAGTCCATTCTTTCGTTTATCTAGTGGCGCCCTAGCGATGAACGATATATTGGAAAGTCCACGGCAAACAAAGTCTCAAACACACAGAATCGAACGTCTCCCTCCGTCCTCGGCTCGTAACGACGGTCCTAATATTTTTCACAGTTTTGTCGAGAAGGAATTGAATATGCAAAAGGGTGTATTCGATTTACAGAAAGGCAAATGTGACTTGCGAAAGGATGAATTTGATTTGAAATAAAATTTAGCTCCGGCCCCCTGTTGTTATTATTATTATATAATAATAATATTATTATATTATATAGATAGAGACTAGATAATTATTGACCAGTTAAATAATAGGGAGCCGGAGCTAAATTTTATAGGTTTCTCAGTCGGAATTCATCATTTTATTAATATCGTTATATTATCAATATTATTATTATTATTATTGTGTTAGTAACCTTAACATTATATTATATATAATTATTAATATAATTATATATTATAATAATATATAATAATATATTATAATATATATTGTACAAAATTTCGGGCTATGGCGACAAAATATCGAGTTCTTGCGCGCGAGTCGCGATATAGCGGACGTCAAGCTGACGCGCTATAAACCCCCCCGGCAGTATCCGAAGGGCGAAAGAGAAATTAGTTCACCGGTTCTTGCGGACCAATGTACCCGCACTGGTAAACCCGGAGCTCGAAGGAAATTCCTTGCCGTTCTCAAACTTCCGTCCACCACTGAACCGAGGGAAGACACCCTTCTGTTCCCCACTCCTCGATGAAACGTGCCAAGGGCTACGGGGAGGGGGGGCCGCGGTGCCTTCGGGTTAACTTGGCCGTCACTTAGTCAATTACTTATTCGTCAGTTGTCAGCCCGCGACTTGGAAGGGCTGAGTGTTCCAACAATTAAGTCAGTCAGTGTTTGAAGCAATTTAGTTAGCTGTGGGAACACTCAGGCTCACTTAATTTGATGGGGTAACCGGATTCCATCAATCTTTAGTCAACCGAGTAATCGGTTTAGCACAAAATTGCGTTAGAATTTTAAGACCACTTCGCTCGACCATCTCGAACTGTTTCGTTCGTTTCTCGGTGTTAACTTGTTAATACCGGAGCACGGCGAAATTTTATTCGGCTCGCGGA